AATCTTGGTGGCGGGGCCGTAGGCAAGGGAGGCGAGGAGGCAGTTTATTGGTTTTGCGATTTTAGCCATGAATATGTTACTATCAACGGGGACTATAGAACATAGATAAAACAATCCCACCAACAAGAGGGATGGAGGAGGTATAAGGCAAGTTTGGTAGATCTATATTTCGGTGTTCAATTTCGGGAAGATTAAGATTAAAAATAGCTCCATTCACATATATCGTTACAAAGGGGTGAGTGAGATAATGAAAGGCCAAAGTTGTTTATATACACACATGGGATGGGAGTCTACTTTTGGTTTTTGACATATTAATAGTTCTGTCTCGCTCCAAAATTGAAGTTTGACACGGAAACGCAAAATAGAGTCGGCTTTTTAAGAATCACCAAAATTCGATCGATGGTTTAAAAATTCCCCAGTCATTCGCCGCGTTAATTCGCTCGCCTCAATCGGTGGTGATATGCGCCCAAGTCTTCTAACCGCCCCCAAGAGAGAAAAAATTGCACCATTTAACATCCATATAAAATAAAACATTGGAAGAAATTAATGCAAATGCAGTAGTAAGAATTGCTGTGCAGACCTTTTTGCTGCACACTCGTTCGTTACAAAGAAGTGGTTTGATATTTAGTTGCCGGGCACAAGACCTTTCAGCCCAGCGCCGAAGTCGCCTTCTCGGGCGGCAATTTCAAAGTATCCATAGATAATTCTATACGCAAGTTAGTAAATTGGACTAGTTTGAAAGGGAAGGGAAAGGGTGAGCCAAAATCAACTTACGTCACAGCGAGCAAGATACCGGTACCACTTCCCAAAGCTCCAAGAAGATCGCTGGTGACGGACAATGCACCGATGCAAGCTCCGCCAAAAGCAGCCGCAGTTGGAATGATTCTCTTGAGTTCCTTGTACATGCTCTGTTCACGATGGCCGGCCATAACAAGTCCTTGATCTTTGAGTTGCTTAGCAACATCTCGTGGGGCAGAACCAGAGACTTCAATCCATGTCTTAGAGAAAAGAGCACAAGCAACTAGCATAAATACGATATACGCAGCCGTGTGGATGGGGTCTAGGAGAGCTTCCCTGAAGTTAAGCGGTGGTGACATGTAGTAAGCGATACCAGAGGAAGCGTAGAGTTGAGCTGAACCACCCTCGCGAGGTTCCCAGACACCAAGAAACTTGACGAGGATGTTATCGGAGAAACGGGAGTAGAGCATTTGGCTGATCAAGAAGATGTTGGAGCAAAGGGCGGATTGCAACATAATTGGCATGTTGGAGGTATAGAAAAGACGGACTGGGTAGGATCCACGAACACCACGCTGGCGGGACGACTTGACGGGAATTTCAACACGGAATCCTTGAAGGTAGATCACGGCGGCGAATACGACAAGAGTGGCCAAAAGGTTCATGATGTTAGGAAGGTTCTGGCGGTAAAAGGCTTCGCGGAGAGCTCGTTGCTTATCGGGCCAGGTGAGGAGAAGGTGGAAGAGAGCAATGACAGCTCCTTCGAACTCGGGACCACGACCGGTATTGATTGTGGTTGGGGAGAAAGCCTTCCAGATGATAGACTCGCAGATGTTGGTTGCAATGAACAGGGAGATACCACTTCCAAGTCCATAGCCCTTCTGCAAAAGCTCGTCGAGAAGGATAACAACAAGCCCGGCAACGACGAGCTGGACGATCAAGAGCACACAGACACCGGCACCGAGATCACTTGGCTGGCCATAGAGACCGGTAAGGACGTAAACACAGGCCTGACCGAAAGAGAGGATGATGGCGAAAAGCTTCTGGGCGGTCTGGTACAATTCACGGTCGGTCTTGAGATCAAGGTTGACGTCGATGAGGTGAGTTCCAGCAAGGAGCTAATGTTATTTATTAGTTAGACAGGAATAGCTTTATCGCCGATGTTGGAATTCGGAGCTTAGATTTTACCTGGAAGACCATTCCTGAGGAGATGATAGGTGTAATACCTAATTCCATCAGGGTTCCTCGATTTGAGGCCAACATCATACGGAGCCAGTATAGGGGATCTGAGGTATCAGAGGACACGATTCCGTAAAGGGGCATTTGGCTCATGACCAAAAATATTAGAAGAGTCAACTAGATATATATAACGCGACCGTTAGCAAAATTATACACTATTGGATTATAGCCGTGATAGTTATCTCGGGGTTATTCAAGCAAAACTGGGGTTCACGTACGCCAGTCCACATTAGCTTCTGGTTGAATGGGACCTTGGTTTCTGGCGAAGCCACCTCCGGGAGGAGGGGCGTGAAAGGCTTGATCAGATCGAGGAATCGTACTACATAAGTTAGTTAAAGGGATTTCACGAGCATCCATATGAAAAGGGTCTTCAATTGGAGTGGAAGGACATAGGGCAAACTCACGACCGCTCATGATGATGGCTTGTCTTTGTTTCCCCGATTGATCTTAAAGAGGAGAGCACAAGGGATTGTAAAAGACCACGACTAGGGCAATTAATTAAAATAGAAAGAGAGCAGAAAGAAAGACAAGAAGAGGGGAAGGAAAAGGGAGGAGGGAGAAGGGGCCAGAGAACAAGATCAGGAGAAATGAAGTTGGGAGTTCAGCAAGAGAGAGCGAGAGAGAGATCGAGTCCAAGAGAGAGTGTGGAAAAGCGCACTAAACGCTTTGAGGACACTCTGGTCGCATCAACACTGATCGCTGACTCAGCCTTCTAGCTCACTCTTCTCAACTCACACGATACACAGACAGACTGATAACCAGGTAACTAGATCTAATGGAATCATTCATTCATCCAGTCTAATACACATTTAATGAGTTCTAGAAAGATGGCTTGTGAACTAAACAATAGTATTGATGACTTTGTTTTGGAGCTCTCCACCTGTTTTGTCAGAATGAGGAACTTTTATTGATACCATCCGTCTATTATGGGCTCTACAAAGGCATTCTCCCATATTTGGGACTGGAAATTCCTTTTGTAGTTGGATATAAAGCAAGAAATAGATCTAAAAGATCCCATCATCCATCATCCATGCAGTATAGCTCATATGCTGTTCAACTGAGAATTACTTAAATATACATATTTCCCCCTCTTGCCATCTAGTATTGCTCCATCAATACTAAGTAGTTACCGCTCTTGCCCTTGATTCCATTATTGTTCCTATCTCAGATTCCCTTATAATACTCAGACTCTCAGATGGCTAAGCCGTCTACACTATTCTACCCAAATGAACAACAAAAGGTACCTTGCTTTTATTGAATATTTAAATCGAAAATTAGCTTCCTCGATCTCTTTGCTTCAAAATCGAATACTGATCTATTTAGTGGCGAACCCGAATATTGCCCCGTCGCTCCTTTAAAGTTCGATCGATAATAAATCGAATGAAGACTAAGCTATCATCTAGCTGGGATAAAGCAAATCAACATGTTCAAAAGGTGCGGATCAAGATAAATCTATGAACACTATGTTTTATGCTTATACATCATCTATGGGGTAGAAGTCAATCACCAGGCTGGATGTTACTCCTGTTTGCGATCAACAGTATCTAGACACAGTTACCTCGACCGCTCAGGGCTCGGCTACTTCGGAAGAGGAAGCTGGGAATGGGATGCTTCCAGACTTTTCTCCATCTAATGGATCCAAGACAGTCACAATAAGCGATGGGAACACCGATGGAACTGTTGGTGACAAACCTAAAGAACTTATAGAAGCAAACCCACCAGAGAGAATTCAGACCCAGGATGCAGGGTTCGAGGAAAGTACTCTGGAAGCTGAAAAAATTGAGAAAAACGAATGCCAAGATGACGATGCGGACGACGAGAAAGAGGAGGATATTCTAACAGCTCAAGAAGAAGGCCCTAATCCAGATCAAGAGACTCTCGACAACATACAGCAAGATTTTGATGACGATATTGAGGACTTTTTGGAAGAAAGACGTGATCTCCTCGAAGAGAAGATGATCTGGCAAGTTAAATTTGTGACCACTATAAAAAAGAGAGACAAACCTCCAACTGGTAGCTTCTCCAGCTCAGTAGCGGATGAACGGATCCGAGGCGTTGACGAAGTACAAACCCGAGACATGGCAATCCTTCACGAAATTATTGATGAGCAGAAGCGCGACGTCGAGACTATCAAGGAAACCTACGCCGGCTGCCCAAGGGATATTCTGCAAAAGACAATGGAAAAAACCCAAGCTGCAATTGATAAGGCAAAAGCTCAGAACTTGGAGACCGCCAAAGAGATCACTGTGCTTCGAAAATTGGTGACGATAGCAGAGCCAGCAAGCGCAGAATTCATAGAATTCTCTCGTGGTCATGACCTAAAGGAGGCCCTTGAAACCAATAAAGAGCTTTTGGAAAAGGTAGCTTTCCAGAAGAATCTAATATCCCGATATGATACCAGGGTGCGAGAATGCGCAGATGAGCTTGAGATTCTTGAGGCGACTAAGCTAAAACTAAAGACACAGCTGGAATCAGTCAAGCTGAATAGCGTCTCCAAACTAGAAGAGGTAGAGAATTCCCTAATTGTATCCCAGGGACTAGTTGCTGAAGCAAAGAATCGCGAATGCGATTTAAAGGACCAGCATTCCAAGGAGCTCGCTGCGTGGGCAGCGGATAAAGAACGTCTAGAAATGGACCTCTTATCCTGCCGTGAAAACCTGAAGTTGAAGGATTCGGTGATTCAACTCGTTCAGCAGCAAAGCAACACGTATATATCCAGTTTCAAAGACGTTCTTTCTATGCTTGGAGAACGCACGGGAGATAACTTGTCGATGAAACTAGCCAGCTGTTTAAACGACACATTAGACCGCAACGAGATGCTAGAGCGGGAGCTTTGGCAGTTTCGTGGGCGGCCGAAACCCTCAATAGCCTCTTCTTCTAAGTGCTAAAGATATATATACAAACATAGACCTAATCGCCATGTCAGTTTGCCAGTCATGTCCATGAAGGAATAGCCCTTTTAAAAATCCTTCAACCTTTTAATTAATATAATAATAATGTTGTGTTGGGAGTAAAAAAAAAGGAAAAGGGCCGAATCGGATTCGAACCAATGACCGTGCGATCTGCAATCGCATGCCTTAACCGCTAGGCCACCGGCCCCGTTGCTTAACAAGCTTTGGTATTTTCTTTGTTCATCGCCAGGGAGTTTGTCCCGACTTATTTAAAGAGGAGAGGAGAATACCCAGTTCATGCTGATAAGTTATCGTTAGAGATCCCACTGGCTTTAACTATGTAGGTAGCTCGAGTTACCGTCCGTGTGTATTTTATTCATCATGTTAGTTAATATTCACTGCAGCTTTACCGAAAAACAGCCTTTTTTTTACTATATAAATAAATCAAGTCAATGACTCCGAACTTCCCCTCCCGTTAGACATTAATAGTTAGCACTCATTTCACTTCGCTACCCTTTAGTTATATACTCCGCTCACCCCAGGCTCTCTAAACCATTCTTCTGACGCTGAATTTCTTCTGTCTTCACTTTCTCAACCCCACTATTCGATGACTTCGACGACGACGACGACGACGAAGCCCGCACAACGCCAAATGTTTTCAAAGCCCACCACCCGACCCAACCCCAACCCCAAACCGAGACTCCCAAAAATACTGTTCCCAGCAGGATGGGCACGAGAACGATCAAAGCCAAGCCAACACACAAGCCAGTAAACAAGAGTGCGCACAGCGATGCAATGACCAATGCAGTAGTGAAGGAAAATATCACGATGCTGGCGATTTGTATGATGAAGAAAAGCAACGGAATGCCAGAGAAGAGTATTTGGGCGTAGATGAATGAGGCCAGAAGAGGGCGAGCCTCAAAGAACGAGGTCAGTTGTTTTTTCGCCTCGGCACGGCGGGATGGAGGGAGAAGCGCGTCGAAAAGGTCATAAAAGGTTGAGAAGAGGTTGAGGGTCGTGACTCGGATTGATGAGAAGATCTTTGAGAGATAGGAGGAGGAGGGGTTTGAAGGTGAGTCTGTTGCAGCCATTGCCGTTCAAATGCCCTGCCAAAGGGTGGTTGATTCAATGTTTGATAGCGTGTTTTTGGTTGGGTTTTCTTTATTGTCTCTTCATTTGTTTGCTCGACTTAAATGGATGGTCGATAGCTGTATAGCCGTCTGGATCACTATATTGTCCTGGCTGGTCCCCTCATTGCGCTTGAGGAGAGGAGTACGGTATAGAGGAAGTAGGGAGTGGCGTCATGGGTTACACAGGAAATATGCAATCCCAAATACTCAGTATTTAGTTATTTATTTCATGAATACAAATAAATGCCTTGATACATCCATCTGTCTATCTATCAGTGACAGAATCTTGGTCATCTCATCCACACTTAAATAAATAAGCTTAGTTTACACTGAGTTGAGACCTGATTTTCTAACCTCATTAGTTCAATACATTCAATTTTTCTACAACGCGGATTATATCTATAGCTTTGGTACCAACACCAAACTTCTAAACTGGGATTGAGTTTCCATGATATTGCAATTATCTGCCCAAGCAGAATAAAACCTGCTTTTTCGCACTATAAACAGCATCCATATTGTAGGAACAATTTCGGATTGTAGGAACAATTTCGGATTGTAGGAACAATTTCGGATTGGGACAATGAGTATTCCCAAGACGGGATAGTTATATGGACAGCTTGATCGGCTGATGGGGGATAATCAAACTACTCTTAACTTCGACTCCATTATTCTTATGCAGGAGGAAAACAGTATCAATAGAACAGCCGTTGAATAGAGAGCTTAAAGAAAATATCAATTAACAGGATGGCGTCGGCTATATTCAACCCATCGCTTCACACATTCATCCACTCTGCGAAGCTGCGTAGTATCTGCTTCAATCTCGAAAAACTCCTGATGCTTCTTCCCACACCGTTCACATGGTTGTTCGGGCTTAACCCTTATATCATCCAGCTCTATATGAACCAATCTCTCTAGCCTATGGATGTTTGGGGCTTTGGAAGCTGCCGGCGTGGGATTTGGAGACCCTGGTGATGATGACGGATGGTAGGGATAATACCGTACCAGCGTAAGATTTTGTGAGCACTGTTGACCCAGACGACGAGATACATTAACAGCACGACCGATCTTTAATGTTATGGTGCGAGCCACGCGTCGATGGTCTGGCTGATCGGGGTCATACCTCTCGATTTCGGAGGTCGGAGCTATTCCTGCAGTGGACATAACATCGCTTATGCGCCTGGGGAACCGATCTTGGTGATTAGAAGGCGGAGGGATTAACGACGGCGTTACATCTTTTCGTGGGTATGAATCGCTTGGTGTAACGCAGTATACGTATATGTAACCCGGTTCATCGTGCCTCGACAGTGGTTCGGCTAATTTTTGGAGTAGTTTCGATGTGACTTCTGGGGAGAGTGTGGAGGGAATCAGACTGAGCAGATATTGTGTTTGAGATGACCCGGGAAGCTGTGGAGGAAGCTGTGGGCGTCTGTCTTGTGGGGTTAAATGTGAGGATGGCGGGTGTTCGAATGCACCCGATGTAGCTGAGCGACCGTTTAATTCCCTGCCTGTTGCCGCTGGCCTATGCTGTTTCGATGTCACGTACTTCGGCGGAGTGCGAACAACGGCTGGCCTGGGATTTAAGGAGCTTCCAGAGAAACGGGTGTCCTCTTCGGGTTTCTTCTTGACCCTTATTACAACTGGCCTCCCATCATCATCATCGTCCACCGGAGTCAGGAAGCAGACAAGTCGCATCCCAGATTTCTTTGGTTTCTTTGCTGGCCTGCACGCTTTCACGGTACCTACCGCGGTATTGACATGGCCTGGGGTCGTGGAAGTGCGAACCCTTCTCTCCTTTGATCGATCAGTGGATGTGACAGGACCAGACGCCAAAGTCTGCTTGGGTATTCTTGATTGCTGCCTCTCGTCGATATTCAGCATTCCAACTCGCTCCACAATGGTATCTAAACTGGATCTTTTCCTCAGTTGGGATGGGGCCTGTTTTTTATCAACCGTGATTTGAGGGGTAAGCTGGCTCTGATGTTGCCAACAGAATAATCTCTCAGGAGTCTGTTTGCATTTCTTTCCCGCTGTTTGAAGCCCAGACTTCGACTTCGTTGAAGCAGATACGACTGTTCGTCGACATTTTTGGCCATTTGCGGTCAGGCCTTGACAAGTCGTAGCAGGATTCTTCGAGTCAGTACGGGCTAACCTGAACTCTGGACTGTGAGGAATATGAGACATTGCTGAATTTAGATAGACAGCGTCTATTTTTTTGGGGATTTCCTATGCTGGTGTCAATAAATATTGCTGGTGTATGGAACTCAAACCAAACTAGAAAGCAAAGTAGTTAGTTGGCATAAGAAGAAAAAACTGTAGTCTGACGATTAATGTCTTTGGGTTAAATACTCTTCTCTTCCCCAGCACAACTAACTCCTTTTGCACCAAACGAGGCGCCAACGGGTTGGTTCAAGCTGAAGGCGGAGCAAGTCCATGCATGCATCAATCACCAGCCTCGCCCAGCCACCATGCCGAGAAATTACAGAAGGGAGAAGGAAGGGTTAAAGAGGAGGCTCAAACGTTGAAGAAAAATAAAGCATTAAATATTCATCGCAAAAGGATGTACAGAGGTTTGTCCCAAAAGTCTTTGCCGTTCACAATAAGGCCTTAAGTGTACGGAGTAAACTTAGGTAGGTGTAAGGCTAGGATCATGCATTCCCCTAACTCCTCAATTTCCACCTAAGTAAGCCCCCTATGCTAGGGCTAGTTTGGTGCCCTTATAAGGGCCTGGTTTTTAGGCAAATAAAGAAAGACTTTTGATGCCGAATTCTGTAATAAGTTTATATTAACTTTTCTAAATAACTAACTAGACAAAAGAATAATTTTGAATATAGACAAAGATGGTTATGATCCCAGCGATACCACGCTTCCATGTTGGCTAATCCAAACATGTTAGAATATTTATTTTGATTGATGAACAAAAAAAAAGCGGAGAGAAAGAAAGAAAGGGCTGGAAAGAGTGAAGTATTAAGTTAAATGTACATGTATGTATATGAAGAAATTAAGCGCCCTTTCCGAGGCTCTGCAAGCTGACAAGCTCATAATATCGACCTTTCTTCACCAACAATTCGTTATGAGTGCCACTCTCGACGATCCTACCCTGATCAAATACGTAGATAATATCCGCCTTTTGAATGGTGCTGAGACGATGCGCAACCGCGATAGTAGTGCGACCCTTTGCAGCTGCGTCGAGTGCAGCCTGGACTACTTTCTCCGATTCCGAATCGAGGGCTGAGGTAGCTTCGTCGAGTAAGAGGATTTTAGGATCTCGAATAAGGGCGCGTGCGATAGCGATACGCTGTTTTTGGCCACCTGAAAGCATGCTTCCTTTACTTCCAACAACAGTTGCAAATCCATCGCTACAGAAATTATTAGTTTTTTTTTTAATACTTCTGTTAGGGGGGAAGGGTGTGGTGGAAATAAATTACTTACGGAAGTGAGATGATGAAATCGTAAATATTAGCCGCTTTGCAAGCTTCGACAATAAGCTCATCGGGAAGATCGTCCTGATCAACACCCAACAGGATGTTTTCTCGGATGGTTCCTTGGTATAACGTAGGCTCCTGGCTTACGAGAGCCAACTTGCTTCGGTATGAGTTAACATTGAGCCGTGAAATATCCTTGCCGTCCACATAAACGCCGCCAGACAATGTATCATAGAACCGTTCAACCAATGCAATTGTTGTGCTTTTCCCGCATCCACTAGGACCAACAAGTGCGATATATTGTCCTGGCTTGACAGTCAAATTGAGACCTCGGAGAACCGGCTGGTCTGGCCGAGTAGGATACCTAAAATGCACATCACGGAACTCGATTGTTCCTTCGACATTGTCTACAACATCGCCATCTGAGGATTCAATATCAATGGTGGGTTTCCGATCGAAGAGTTTCTTGAAATCAGCGGCGGCGCTCTTGGCCTTACCCATATCGGGAGAGAATGCGAATACAGTTCCAGCGGATTGCGCACCGAAAATAACTGCCGACAACACCAAGAAGAACTGGAACATCGAGTAATGGCCTTTCCCGAGAAGCTGACCACCGTACCAAAAACCGAGAGCCATACAAAAGAGACCAAACGATT